GTGGCGAATAAAGCCTTGATTGATTGATTGATCCTTGTCAGAGTTGTGGGGGAGTCTATCGCAGGGCTAACACAGTGAGACAGACAACCGTTCATACTCACATGGGCAACTTCAAATCATCCATTACCCCAATAATTGCATTCTTTGGAGTGTGGAAGAAAACCAGAGAGAACCCACAGAAACACAAGGAGAGCATGTAAACTCCACACAGACAAGCCCCACCCAGATGGTGGAGCTGAACTCAGGCAACAGTGCTAACCACCACGCAACCATCCATCATACAATATATTTTGTTCTTCACTGACTATCATATTCAATTATTCATTAACCGAAGTAAAAAAAAAAAAAGGAAAAAAAGTAGAGCAAATTAGAATGTGACAGAATACAACAAGGTCCTTCTAGAAGCAAGTGCTGCAACTTGGCACCTATCTTGAAACACCTCTCAGGACTTCTGAATAAATGTGAATATCCACTAATGGGAAAAAATTATAAAAAATTAATATGAAGTAAAGACTGGTGGCTGGTTGTATAGCTATTATACAGCAGCAGAAAGGCACATGCTGTAATACTGAGTATAGCCTGCAGATGTCACCATTGCAGTGCCCATTAAAGGGAACAATCTTTCTGGGTTCCTATTACTAGCATACATGGAAAGTAACCAACAGAGACTATTAGAAATTGGGAAGTGTTGATGCATTTGGGTATTTGGTTTTCATTTGATAGTGTTGAGAAAATGAGGCTACAAATCTTTACTATTTCAAAGATCAAGACATTAAAGAAAGGCTAAGACCGCAAAGTCAGAAAAGGTTCTGATGAATGATGTGGAATCATTCTGCCTGATAGAGTACAGTGATTTAATTAGCATAGTGCAGAATAGAGCATAAGCCTCTTACTGACAGTTGTCACATCAAGCCAGCAACACCATGTGTAAATGGGAGCATGTTGTGTGGAAGTGAGCAGGTAGTAATGTAGTGAGGAGGGCAGCAATGGGAACCCGCGGTGAGGGCAGAGATTAGCGAGCATGTAAAGCCGATGATAGTGGATTCTGATAGAAATAAGAGCGCCATAATTCACAAAAGCAGATAAATGAGAGTCCCAAGCCTTCCAAACATCTGTGATTAAAAAGGAAGGGTGCTTTAAGAGATCAGAGCAGATATTTATAGGGAGGATGATTACAATCAATAAAACAAATGAGTCTATGATTGCTTTGCTGAGATTTCTGCTTTTAAAACTGATTTAAAGGAGAGAGAAAAACCAAATCCCCTTTTATGGCAGCCAGCAGGCTTGGTGGTGTGTAACCAACATGAATATGTGTCACTTTTTTAAAGTAATGCTGGATGAATGGAATGGGAATGAAATAGCCCTATCAGAAATGCAATCTTCAAATTTATAAAAATGACATGAATATTTTTTCTGCTTCTGTTGACAAATGTTTCAGCCCACAAATAGTGTAGGAGGGCTTTGTTTTCTAACATGCAATAAGCACAGCTTGCATTTTGAAGAACGCCAAGGGGGCAAATTGTTTTTCACTGTACATCCAAAGGAGCTGAGGTCTCAAGGTTAGATAAAGATAGTTAGGATAAAGACTTTAGTGAAAACATTTGCACATGAGCCAACTTTCTGAGACAAAGGCTTTTACAGATAAGAAGATTAGTTGCAAAAAACGTTAGGCAAGATGGACAGAAAAGGAAGTTTGGGGTTTTGCTGCTAACCAACATCACATGAGCATGTTAAAGTGCCGTGACTATGGACAACTCTTGAGGAAGTGAAGGAGGAGTTGTCTTGACCAAGTAAACCTGATCCATGTGATGCTGATTTTAAGTTTAACTCAGGTCAATAATCTCATTACTGCACTTTAAAACTACAACAGCAATGTAGTTGATGCAGTAAGAAATTATTGTTATTCGTAAATGTGAGAAAGACAGTGGTTATAAGACAATAACGGTATAATACAAGTTTATAGTACCCAAATATCTATATTGCAGAATACTCTTAATAAATTATGCTTACATTCCAGTCTATTGATGCAAAGAAGCGGTGCCTTTTTATTTCTTCTACTCCATCTGGTCCTGCACCTATAAGTAACACAGATTAAGAGAATCAGAATCAACCGCAATGTCTTTTATTGTCATTAAATCATAAGATGTAATAAAACTGAAATGCTACATCTGCATGTACCTCCAAAATAAAATCAATTCACACAATTCAACAATCATTCACACAGTAAAACAAACCCTTTCAGTTGAAGATAATAAATAATTATGAATATGAAGGAGTAAAAAGTACAAATAAATAAATAAATCCGCCATGCCATGGTGCATTTAAAAAACTGTTCTTTAATCTATTTATCCTTTATTTTGGTGGAAATGTAACATCTACCACAGGGCAACAGGTCAAACAGCTGTTTCCAGGGTGACGACTTCCCTTAGTGATTTTTTTAAGGCTCTTGAGAGCTATCTCACTCTTGCATTTAAATCACTGTTAAAATGATCATGAATTTAGCAGGTGAATTTCTTGTAAACCATGAATGGACAAAGTATCATTTCTAATGTTATATGTGTTACATTTGTAATATGAATAGATTTTTTTTTTAAAACCAAATTAGCACCTTGTTAGTACTGGTACTTTTCCCTTGAGAATTTTCTTAATGCTTCACACTACAGACTCAACAAGGTGATGGAAACATTCCTCAGAGATTTAGATAGGATCACACAATTGCTCTAAATCTCCCGTCTCACCACATCCCAAAAGTGCTCTATTGGATTGAAATCTGGTGATTATAGAGGCCATTTGAGTACAGTGAACTCATTGTCATGTTCAAGAAACCATTTTTGATTATCTGAGCTTTGCGAAACGACACATTATCCTGCCAGAAGCAGCCATCAGAAGATGGGTACACTATAAAGGGATAAAGGGATGTACATGGTCATTAACAATATTCAGGTAAATGTGATATGTTGATACTAAGGGGTCAAAATGTACCAAGAAAATATGCCCCACACTATTACACCATCATAAGCAGCCTTAACCCTCCTACAAGGCAGGATGGACCCATGCTTTCATGTGTAAACAAATTTCTGACCCTGTCATATAAATGTTGCAGCAGAAATTGATACTCATAAGACCTGGAAACTTTTTTCTTCCAGGCTTCTGTTGTCCAGTTGGGTGAGC